CCAGTGAGAGATAATGGGATAGACAGATAAGACACATTCTTAAAATTCTGACTGCCTACCTGGTCTGATGACATTGCATCATTTAATACATTGAAAATGAGAATGTGGGATTGGTGCGGGTTGATTTCTAATTGACAAAAACCATGAAGACTGTTCTTTTGTTAAAGCTCTGTCTTCCTGGATAAACATAAATAGTTATGCACACAAGCATACGCCCTTCTCTCTAATACACAATAATGTCATTCTCCATTAGATACACATCTAGATAGCTACCTGTCGTACTGGTAAATATATGTTTGAATAGCCTAACAGAAGAAAACCTGCTAATCTTTGCCTTTTAGTTATGATACACACAGCAGAGAAAATTTTAAATTCCTGGACTTATTTTAATTCAGGTATGATGGATGGTCTTAGAAAATACAATGCGAGGGCTAAACTTGTGAAAGTTTCAAGCTGAGATGTCTAGCTCTTTTCCCCAGCCTGCCTCTCTCTCTGTCTCTTTCTGGCATAACCACTTCATGATTACTGTCATGCAAGAGCTCTGACAGGAAAGGTAGAACAGAAGGCCTGAAAGGCATTATAATTTTGTTCCTTGGGGAGTTCTGTCCAAATCTGATGATTTTGTGGTAAGATTGAAAACTTTTCTCTGAAAGTGGATATATAAACACATATTACCTATATTCTTTAGATGATTTAGGCTAATGCCTGAAAAATACTATTTTTGATGAAATTATTTTGTATGTGGATTTTGGATAGGGGTGAGGTAATCAGGGTGCCATGATTTTCACGTGATTTTCTTTAAACTTCATTAATTGTTTTTGGTGCTAATTAAAAATCATGAAAACAGTTTGTTAGACCTTCTTACACAGACAGTTTAAACTTTTCAGGACTTAAAACGATTCTATCCGTGGCAGATGATGGTGGAAGAGGCAGCTGTTTGATTAAATAGGACTAAAATCACAATGGCTTACAGCAAACGTTTGCTGTTCTCATTCATTGGCTTGGAAGTTGACTAAGGTTCATTTGATCTGGTATAGTTTCAAGTGAGCTTGGCTCCATACTGCGGGAGTCTCTGTTTGGGTTTAACCGCATGTGTCTAGTTCCAGGCTTCTCAGGGTATCCTCGCCTTGTGATGATGGCAGAGACACAAAGCAAGGCGTGAAAACACACAGTGACTCCTAAGAACCTTGCTTGGAGTTGGTGTACTGTTACATTGTTTATTTTCATTTGGCCAAAACAAGTCCCAGGGCAGGGTAGATGTGCAATACAAACTACAGACACAACCAGAAAATGCTCTGCTGAGGTTATAATAAATGGAGGAACTGAGGAAGTGAGAACAGTCACTCTACCACAGAGATAGACACTGATTTCATTTTGGGAAGATGAGCTATGGACATTGCCTCCATTTTGAATGGTGTATTACTTTTTCTTTGTATCTGCTTCTGTTAATTTGATCATTGATGGCAAAACCCCAGTCTGATGTTATAGGTTAGCATCAGGAAGTGCAACTCATCACTTGAATGGAAAAAGCACAGACTTTGAATGTGACCCTAAGGTAAGTCACCCCTCCGTTCAGTGTAACTATGCTGTATGTCATGTTAACCATGCTCAACTATAGACTTAATCTGTGTGTGTTCCTGTGATCAATTAACCTGTTCAAATGTCTTTCAGAAACAAAATAACTCATTAATGTGGAATAACAGACTTAACCTGCACACATAACCAAATCCATAAGCCTCAGCTTTTCACAAGATGTTTCATGAAAATCCAACACCCCAAAATCTGCATCAGAAAATTAAATGACAGTTGGTGGTTTAGACAGAATTATTAATTTCCTGTAATTTTCTTCTCTCTCTATTAAATTGATTCAGCTGGAGAAAGTAGTGTGGGCATTAATATTTTGATAAATATAGACATGTTTTATTTCTAACTGAAAGAACTTGTGCCTGTATTACCAAAACTCTCCACATAGAAAATCACTTGGTCCTTTTGTGATAGCCTTTGGAGTGATGCATTGGTCCAATTTTTTAACCTCCTTTGTCAGATTTTTAGGATAAGAGTTTTATGTTCCTTATTTCTGCCCTTGATCCTTTCCTATCCTAATGATCTTGATTCAAATGATTACACATCATGATTTTACCTTGTGTGTTTTCCTTCATAGGGATATTGTCTGGTTAAACATCAAGTGTTAGAAATGGGCTCTTTAAAACTTAAACCATTTCTAGAACACAGCTGATTTTTATTGTTCTTGTTTTAATTTTACCTCTTTTTTTCTTCTAAATAGAGTGAATTGGATTGTGCTGTTTCCTTCATTGCTGTGCTGTTAAATAGCCACTCTGGGTGTGTGACTGTGTGTGTGGGTATTTACATAGGCGTACACTCTGTACACAGACATATGCACGCACGCACATGTGTATAGCTGTTTGTTTTATCTCATTATCCCAAACCCTTTCAGTATAGGAATTTTCCACTCTCTCATATGTAAACAATGATTTTATACTTACCAGACAATGTGCCTCTGATCTTTTAGGTGTCTTACCTTAGGTGGTGTCCATTGTGTTTTGTGATTACGTATTTAAATGTTTCATGTTGTTTTGATAATCTGTGTACACTTTACTCAAAGCCAGCAGCTTCTCCAAAATAAAAATGAAAAGGGAAGTGGTTTAAATTGAAATCTAATTAGGCATTGATACTTTTCAAATATTGCAGTAGCATGGAGAGGTCACACTGTGAACTAAGGAAAATAATTGTTTCCTTTTGGCGGGGGGCAAAAATTAGTAGAAATATTCAATGAGGTGAGTTAGCCATGGGTGGAAATCAAATCAGTCTGAGCCTTAGTTTTGTAGCCTGTTGAAGTGTAGGTGACACTGTTTTCTTCTTGCGGTCTCCATGAGGACAAGGTACAGGTAATTAGTAGAGTTCTTTCAAGGCATTCATTGAGGTACCTTGTAGCACATAATGTCCTGCAGTAGAAATCAGATAGAATAGCAAAGGGCATGGCTAGAAATGTCCTCAGGCCCTGGTATGTGGCGCATGTGAACGAGAGCCTCGTTTTCCCATTGTAGACACACTATGTCTGCAAATAAGAGTAGACTTGGAAGACCTTGAACTCTCATTTTTTTCTTTCTGGCTGCCAAAAGGTGTTTTGCAGATAACCTGTCAGAGGGCACCCGTAGAAACAATTTGACCTGTATCACCTTTCAGTGCAAAGTATGGCTGGAAATCAACAAACTGAATGAACAAACAAAAAACTTTAGCTGTTTTCAAATTACTTTTTTTTTTCTGAAATGCTAGTGTAATATCAGGAAGAAGCATGTTATCCCACAGTCCCTTTGCTGACTTATTCCCAGCTCAAGTTCCTTGTAAGTCGACTTTTCACCAAGGTGAAAGCTGTTAGCTGCGTCTGGGTCTCTGCCAAGCAAACTCTTATGAGGATTATGTGTAATAAACACCCTACCACACATCCAGCAGTAATCCCTTTGCTAAAGTGCATTGAGCCAGGGCTTTAACTTCTGTCTAGTTGCTCAACACTTTCCAAGGTTGTCTAGCAGAAATTAAAAGAGGGCTAGGAACTTGAATGTTGTGAGACTTAAAAGGTGATCTAATCTAATGTTTTTTAACTGTGTTCTAGGAGAGCACTAGTAGCCTACAACATCTGTACTGGATTTTGTGGTCAAATAAGTTAGGAAGTCTATATTATAAAGAGTTAATATTCTTCACTAAAGGACATATCAAGGTCTTTAAAAGGTGACATGAGCCTTGTCACCCCAGAGAATTCAGTGTGCAGCTGTTGTCACAATTATTTGAACACAGTTTCCTTTTTGTTGTAAAACATACATTGCCATTTCAGAAACGTCAGGGGAAAAGTCAGTGTGGATTTTAGAAGTAGGACCTGTAGTGTTTTAGCCTGAGTTTATATCCTAGCTTTACTATTAAGCAAGTTTATGATCTTTTGTGCCTGAGTATATTCCTCATGATCAGCTATAGGCTATCTTTTAAAAAAAAAAAAAATTGAAAAACAGCATGGGGCCCGGCGCGGTGGCGCAAGTGGTTAAAGGTCTTCGCCTTGCACGCCCGGGATCCCATATGGGCGCCGGTTCTAATCCCAGCAGCCCCACTTCCCTTCCAGCTCCCTGCCTGTGGCCTGGGAAAGCAGTCGAGGACGGCCCAAAGCTTTGGGAACCTGCGCCCGTGTGGGAGACCCGGAAGAGGCTCCTGGCTTTGGATCGGCATAGTATTGGCCCATTGCGCTCACTTGGGGAGTGAATCATCGGACAGAAGATCTTCCTCTCTGTCTCTCCTCTCTGTATATCCGCCTTTCCAATGAAAAAATAATAAAAATAAATCTTTAAAAAAAAAGAAAAACAGCATGAAAAATAGTGCCTGGCCTGTAGCTGATTATTTCTGTGCTAGCATGGCTTATGTGAGAGTGAGCTAGCATAATCCTCTCTTCTGCAGATGACAAAAGAGAGTCCCAAATAGTTTCTTCATGCAATACTCACCGAGTTGACAAAACTGACCAATGCCACATTTCCCATGTATGATGTTTCTGTCCCCAGGAACAAAGATGAACAGGATACACTTGTAGTCCAGGAAACATGCACACACTAGTGATTTGGCCCAAGTGACATATTAAATAGTACAGCCAGCAACCTAGACCTCTTGAATTCTGTCCCTACCCCTGATTCCATTCTGTGTCAACAGGAACTGTGCTGCCTTTATTGGAAGCAAGAATATGGAGCTCAGGGTAGACAGGCATATTTTAAAATTGATGATAAGTACCCATATCTTAATTGTTTTGTTAACGCAATCCAGAAAGCACACTTACAGGAAATACTTCTAGAAAAAAGGAAACTAAAAATATAACCTGAAATAAAGTAATAGTGTGAAGTGATCCACGTAGGAGTTCCCCAGTATGGCTGGCTTGGTTTTTGTTTGTTTACTTTGTTATGTTTTTGTTTTTAGCTTGTGCATAACTGATGGTCTCTGTGTTTGTTTAGGTGCCTCTGCTGATGGCTTGCCGTGGGACTACTTCAGTGAACAGACCACCAAAGACAGTTCCAACAGGGATGGAGCTGCATGGGTCCTGGGCTATAGGACAGGACCAGCCTGTCCATTTCTGCTCCATGAGGAAAGAGACAAGCCAAGCAGAAGTGAATTGTACTTAGATCTTCATGTAAGTCGAAATCTTTGTATTTGTGCTGTACTTCTGTGCAGGTAGCAGAGGCTTGTCTAATATGTACTTGATGTAGATTGTCAAAGAGAAATCTGCTGAAGATATGTCTTATGTGGGGACCATTGTTTTTAAAATCGGTAGATTGCAGGGTCCCATGTGATAGCCTTGTGGCTAAATCCTTGCCTTGCATGTCGTTTGGGTGCAGGTTCATGTCCCTGCTGCTGCATTTCTATCCAGCTCCCTGCTTGTGGTCTGGGAAAGCAGTAGAAGATGAGTCAGGGCCTTGGGACCCTGCACCCACATGGGAGACCCAGAAGTTTCTGGCTCTTGGCATCATATCAGCTCAGCAACAGCTGTTGCAGCCACTTGGAAAATGAATGAGTGGGCGGAAGATCTTTCTCTCTTTCCTTCTTTCTGTATATCTGCCTTTCCAATAACAACAACAACAAAAAAATCTGGAGAAAAAAAAAAAAGAAATAGGAGAAAGATCAGTGGATTGCAGGAAACCTGAAACTGGTGATCTGAAGTTTGCACACTAGCTAGTGATTTCAGCTGAAGAGACCGTGTGTGTGTCATGGACCTGAATGTTTTCAGAGTGCTCATATTAGCTTTTCTGCCTAAATCTTGTTGTTGGGTTACCCAGTTGCTACCAGGCACTTCTGAATTGCCGAATAACATATGTCAGCCAGTGGATATGCTGTAGATTCTCTGGTGAAACCCAAGTAGCTTGTCTTCCTTGTACATTCATAACCTTTCTTTTTGTCCAGCTGTTCAATTAACAAGTGACCAGGTTGACAGGAAATCTGCCGGATACAGGATGACCTACTTAAAACACATAGCCTACTTGATTCTCATTCATTCGTGTATTCATTGACCCGAAAGCATTGACTCTCCAGAACAAAACATTGGGATGGGCTTTATCTGGCACCACACTTAGATGGCATGATAGTATTGACAAACTGTCCCAACTCTCCCACTCCTCTTCACGCTTGCTTCCTGCAGTTTCCCGTCATAGATGGAGCAAGCACTGAGAATCCAGGAAGCTGTTTTTTTGTTTGTTTGTTTTCTTTTCCACTATTAAGCTTAATGTCTACTGACAATCTCATGCTTTTTAATTATTGCTTTCGGTGTTGGAGCTATGCATTGGATGAGTGTGAGTTAGGGCCATTATAATATGGGTGGTCCTAGCAGTTTTTAGATAGGGTAAGTTAGGTCAACTGTGTTCATATTAGTGGTAACTGGTGAGCAGGAGAATCTTGTGATTCCTGAATCCCTAATGTTCAGAGCCATTGTGTGTCATTTTAGAACAGCATTTAGAAAGGCATGTTTTATAAGAATAAGTGGAATTGAAAGATTGCAAACCTACCACTCATTGGGAGATGACATGGAAACTTGTGGAAGTTTTTGTTTTTGTCTTCTGGTTTGAACCATACCTTGGGTATCTTGAGAATGAGCTCAGAGTGAGAAGTGAAACAGTGACATCTGTTGGTGAGTTTGTAGCAAACACCAGGCAGGCTGGAGTAGAAAGGTGCAGAAATGAATTTTCAATTGCTACTTTCTTCCTTCAGTGTTTTTAAATCTGGTAAAAGATTTATTTCTGATTTGTTTCTTTTGTTCTTGCCTGTGAGTGAAATTCATTTATAAGTTCATTCATTTATTACAGTTATAAAATTCACACATAATTCTTATGAAAAGTTGAAATATATAATTGAATTTGAAAAAAGAGCACTAACACATGGTCTTAGCAGCAGGGACAGCAAGTATTAAAATTGGAGAAATTTTTTGTGTTTTTCACTATGTGTGATTTATTTTTAGTGAGGCATTTTTAGCCTTATAAGCATGCTACATTTTATAACCTATATATAACCAATCCACCCTTCCTTCCTCCTTCCTTCCTCCTTCCTTCCTCCTTCCCTCCTTCCCTCCCTCCCTCTTTCACTTTCTCCCTCCCTCCCTCACTTCCTCCTTTCCTCTCTTCCTCCCCTCCTGCCTCCATGGCAGATTTACAGAAAGAATGAGAGACAGAAAGATCTTCCATTCGGTGATTTACTCTCCAAGTGGCCACAACTGTCACAGATGAGCCAATCCAAGCCAGGACCCAGGAACTCCCTCTGGGTCTCCCATGTGGGTGCAAGGTCCCAAGGTCTTAGGCTGTCCTCAGTTGCTTTGCTAGGCCACAAGCAGGGAGCTGGATGTGCAATGGGGCTCCCGGTATTAGATCCTGACACGTTCAAGGCTAGGACTTATAGCCACTATGCTACCATGCCGGGCCCAAAGCATTTTTCTATCAACCCTGATGAATGCTGTAAGCTTCAGTTCAGTTTCAGCACTATCCCCCTGAAGTTAGTGTCATACTCCATAACTTAAGGGGTCCGTCCCATGAGACCAATCCTAATTCTGATGCTAATGACAAGCAGTGAGATTCCAATTCACAGATGGCTCTTGTTCAACTTGGAAACACATTGGGAATTTTCATAAATTTCTGCTTTAGGTTTAATCAGTTTTAGAGAGGCAAGCATTTGGAACTGGAGTTAAGACAGTGCTTTGGATACCAGCATCCCATATTAGAGTGCCTGGGCTCAAGTCGTTTAGTATTTCAAAATACATACTTACATGCATACATACTTAAAGACAAGTAAATTATTTGCTAGAACATCTTACGCAAATGTCTTATACAAGACAGATTGATAACACATGGTAATTACTATTACTGATTAAAATATGTTTTGAAAGAATACAGAAGAATAGTTAGATGAAGAGATACATTCAGTGAAATCTGAAAAGGTTCTGAACATAAGAGCTTGGACCCCAAGGAGACAGAACTCCTTTGCTCAGAGTTTTGAAGGACACCTCACTACATAGCTTTATAGGTTACATTATTGAATACTGGTGATTGAATCAAGCTCCAACTGCTCCGGGGTCAGGTCAGGTTAGTCTGGGGCTAAAAATTCCAACCCCCTAATCACAAGAACTGGCTCAGTCCTGGCAACCAACCCACCATTCTGGGGGTCTTCTCCAAAGCCGCCTCATTAACAAACTCTGAATTGTGGTAGAAAGGGGCTTGTTGTGAATAACTGACTGTAATACTGCTTGTGCTTTGCTGCTCCTGAGTTGCTTCTAGAACTGGGGAAAGACCAAATAGTATTAAAAAGATGATCCTGCTAATCTTTTTTTTAAATGTTTGGTTTTTTGATTAATTTGAAAGGCAGAGTATACTCACACAGAGATATTTTACATTCACTAATTTTCTACCCAAATGGCTGCAATGGCTAGAGCTGAGCTAGTAAAAAGCCAGAGCCAGAAGCTTTTTCTGGACCTCCCACATTTTGCAGAAGGCCAAGCACTTGGGTCACCTTCCCCTGCTTTTTCAGATATGTTAATAGGGAACTGGATTAGAAATGGGGCCACCAGGTCTTGAACTGGTGGTGCCCATGTGGGGTGTCAGCACCACAGAAGGTAACTTTATTCTATATGCCATGAGTCTGGCTCTGCTTCTATTTATCTTATCACTTAGGAAGTTGCAAGGGCTTTAGGAACTTTGGTCAGGGGTCAGAGTCAAGGACCAAGTACATATTTCTTACTATATCACAATATTGCATAACCAATCTAGATTTCAGTGTTTAAGCAGCCGGTGCTATGGTCTGGGTGCCAGACTGCTGTGTAGACAGGCTCTGTTTGGGTGACGGTCCTGTTTGGGTGTAGTCCTGCTCAGCCAGTCTGGGCAAAATACAAAGCTCTTGGAAGACTGAGTCCATGTGTTGTCATCTCCAATTTTGGATGCATACATTGTCAAATATTTTGTGGGCCATACTTACACAAGAAAAAAATCTTTATGTTTAAGTGAAATTCAAATTTAGCTGGGTGTCTTGTGTTAAATTAAATGTGTGTATAGCCCTAAGTACTTTTGGGACAATATCTAGCTATGTGGATTGACTCGGGGTGGTGTCTACATATATGAAAGTTTAACTCACTCCAGAATGCCCATCTCAAACATGAGCATTAAAACATTAGACTTAATGGATATCAAACTAGGAGCTACTATCAGCCATACATCTCAGACTTCAGTGCATTTTGAGCTGGTAGTGTCAAGGGCATCTGAATATGTTCAGAGACTGGAGAGCCAGTGTAGCTTAACTCATTATAACAACTTGTTTCCCGAAGATTCCTCTTGGGATACATGTTCAACATGGAGGATGGTTTGTAAAATGCCTGTAAACAGGGGACAGGAGCTGTGAGCAGTCCTCGGAATTTTAGGCTGCTCACATGGGATTGTGCAAGCTAACTTCTTTTTTTGTTATTGGAAAGATCTATTAATTTTTATTGAAAAGTCAGATATACAGAGAGGAGGAGAGACAGAGAGGAAGATCCTCTGGCTGCTGACTCACTCTCCAAGTGGCCATAAAGGCTGGAACTGAGTCGATCTGAAGCCAGGAGCCTGGAGACTCTTCTGTGTCTACCACATGGGTGCAGGGTCTCAAGGCCTTGGGCCATCCATGACTGCTTTCCCAGGCCACCAGCAGGGAGCGGGATGGGAAGTGCAGCTCTCAGGATTAGAATTGGTGCCCATATGGGATCCCAGCATGTGCAAGTCAAGGACTTTAGCTGCTAGGCTACAGCGCCAGACCCGCAAACTAACTTCTAACATACTAAGTTTGTACTCTTCTTGGTGATTCTGGTTTCCGAGGTTCATCACAGTTCCTTCACCAATCTCTGGATGTTACTTACCCAGTTGTCTTAACTGGAAAAGATGCAGTATCAAGAACCAAGTAATTACTGTAAGGCAAAGGGTGTAATTACTAAATCCACACCCAACCTTGAGTTTCTCAATTCTATGGGTTGATCACTTCCTGCAAGCCAACCCCAGTTAGTTGAGGTGTTATTGTACATGATGTACAAATGAGTGAGATTCAGTACTGGCAGGGATCAGATTTGAGCTCAGTTCTGACTCTAGACCAAAGTCCTTACATTTTTTTTGGGGGGGGGGGTAAATATCTTCTTTT